AAACTTTTAGCAGTTACGAAGACGAGTTGACAAGCATTTGTTACCTTCGTCTGATCGCGGCCGCTTCCGCTGTTACCAACAGGCGCTGACCCAGTAGCTAAGGATAGCACGAGGGGACCTTATAAATCACGCGAATAGCTTCGCCGGGGCCAACACGATGCCCTGAATCAGATGCCTGCGCAAGAATGGTGCTGCTTGTGCTCCTAGTTTCGCATTTCGTCAGCCATGCGAGGAGGTGTTCTTGTATTCTTTCGGATAGACGTCGACTCGTACGACCAATACAACCTGCTCGACAGAAGCAAGTGAAGGGATAGATGCACACGGAGGTAGGATAAGTGCAGTGCCATATTCGAAACCTTGTTGTTGGGAGGTTTGCGAGACAGCTTGATCAAGGCGTCTTCTTAGCAGTTAAATCACAGCGTCCCCTTAAACAGGAAATTTGAAGAACAAATTTTTCTTCTCGACAGTCAGTGTAGTGGGTTTTGCAGGTTGTTCGAAAATGTCCTTTATTCTTCAAAGTTCCTGTGAAGGACTGTGAAACATCATGCAGAAATTCGGCTGTCAGGAGCGATTCATTCAGCTGGTGCGTCAGCTGCACGACGGTATGATGGCAACGTAGCTGTCTAAGAGGCATTCGCAGTGACCAACGGAGTGAAACAGGGATGCGTGCTGGCGCCTACGTTCTTCAGTCTTATGTTCTCTGCCATGCTGATGGACGCCTACCGCGATGAACGCACCGGGATCCGCATCGCCTACAGGACGGACGGTCACCTGCCTAATCAACGACGGATGCACTTCCAATCGCGCGTATCCACAACCACCGTTCACGAACTTCTATTCGCCGACGACTGCGCTCTGAACACCACCTCGGAAGAGGAAATGCAACGCAGCATGGACCTGTTCTCCGCCGCCTGAGAGAACTTCGGTCTGGTCATCAACACGCAGAAGACGGTGGTCATGCACCAACCGCCACCCAACTCAGCCACAGCCCCCAACGCAACGCAAATCAGTGTAAAGGGAACCCAACTGCAAATGGTGGAGAAATTCCCCCTACCTGAGCAGTACTCTCTCCCGCAACACCAAAATCGATGACGAAGTCGCCAACAGGATCTCGAAAGCCAGTCAAGCATTCGGCTGCCTCCAAAGCACAGTTTGGAATCGTCACGGTCTTTAGCTGAACACGAAGCCGAAGATGGAGAAGGCCGTCATCCTGCCGGCGCTACTGTATGGAGCGGAGACTTGGACGGTGTACACAAAGCAGGCACGCCGACTGAATCACTTCCACCTCAGTTGTCTTCGTCGCATCCTGAGGCTGAACTGGCAGGAACGAATCCCCGACACTGATGTGCTGGAACGGACGGGAGTCCTCAGCATCTACACCATGCTGAGACAAATGCAGCTGCGTTAGAGCGGCCACCTGGTGCGCATGTACGACGAGCGACTACCCAACCGACTCTTCTACGGAGACGTCGCGATGGGTTCTCGCCGTCAAGGAGGCCAAATTCGTCGATATAAGGACACTCTGAATTCCTCCCTGAAGCGTCTGCAAATCAACCCGACCAACTGGGAAGAGCTCGCTCGCGATCGTCCGACCTGAAGGAGAACAGCGAAGACGGGCGCTGTGATCTACGAAGCCAACCGCATCGCTGCCGCCAAAGTGAAACGCGAAGCACGCAAATCACAACTGCGCCCAATCCGCAACGCCGACGCACAACCGCTTTCTACGTGTCCTCGATTTCAACAGACATTCCGGGCTCGAATCGGCCTTGTTGGACATCTCCAGATCAGCTGCGCCTCTCGAACTGCACAAACAATCGTCCCCCCGCTCGCCTATTCCTCGTCCTCTTCGCCGCCAACTAACTCTGACAATTTTTCTGAACCACCATTTCCATCCTCCTCCTCCTCCTCCTCCTCCTCCTCCTCCTCCTCCAACTCCTTCTTCTTCTTCTTCTTCTTCTTCTTCTTCTTCTTCTTCTTCTTCTCCTCCTCCCACACCACTGCCTTCACGAAGCCCGCTCAGGCGGCTGTCACGCACACAGCAACCGACACCACCCCCAATGCATCCGACTCCAGCGATGAGGATCAGATCTACACCTGCCCTCACTGCGACCGAACATTCACCTCACACATGGGCCTGGTTGGTCACTTGCGAATCCGTCGCACAGAGACTGGCGAACCAGTGCGCGAAGCACCAACCTACACCCACCGCACTCGCCTCCACTGCCCACACTGCCCTCGCACCTTCAGGCATCGCATGGGCCTTTTCGGCCACATGCGCATCCACGAGAGCGGAATTGACTGCATTTCAGACACACCCACCACGTCCACCACACCCAACACTGCCAGCCCCACCCTCGCTCCATGGCCCTGCGCGCCGATCAC